TTGCTCTTCCCCCCCCCCTCCTCTGCCATGCCACTCTGCTTCGCCCTATGCCGCCCGCTCCCCCCTCGTATCCCTCCGCAAAGCTCGCTTGCCGGGTGAACGTCGCGTTGAGGAGACGGCGTACAGCCTCTCTTCCCCCTTTCGCCCCCTCGTCGCGAAACCCGTAGGATCCAGAAGTGGGGATGGTGTAGGGTCCAGCAGCGAGTGTATCCGGGTATCGCGCTTAAGAGGGGTGAGCGAGGCCTCCCTTCTACCCTTCGTCTCCCTCTCCGTCGTCTTCCTGCGCGGGAACCTTCTCGGACTCCCTTCGTCCCCACATTCTCCGTGTTTCTTTTTTTTTCCTGTTCCTCTTCCCCCATACAAGAGAACGAGAGGAGTACGAGAGAAAGAGAGAAGATCTGAAAGAGAAGGGGGCGCGGGGGGAGGGGGAGCCGCGGAGACTTATGGAGTACATAATGATGCGCCCCGCGGTATTACGTCGACTTAACGGACGTGTATGCGTGCTTTGCAAGCGATGAAGTCGACGAAGTCGACGACGTCGAGAAATCTTCGTAGCGGACGGGGAAAGGGGCTCGATTACACTGAAGTATTGGAAGAAGAAAGAAAAAGGTTGTACACAAATTGACCATAAATTCGTTCGCTATGATCGAAGAATATAGTTATAATTTTTATATCTATAAGATATTAATAACTTTAATTATATTTGTATTTAATATTTTTTACTTTACTACCTTTACTAAATGGAACATATTGACTGTTCCATATACAGGACGCTAATTTAATTTAATTTGATCCATTCACTAAAATTTTTGACGTATATTGCACGGATACATAAAGGGAAAAAATGAAGATATATATTCTAATCTTTGTCTTTTTGGATCGAAAGTGTTCGAGGTAGTAGATTGTCGAGGTAAACCAACGATAAGTGAAAATTATGGGGAAAAAGGCAGCCGAAGGCGAGAGAGAGATAAATGTGTGACAGGGAGATGTATGAAGCGCATAATGATGCTCAGCGCGGTATTACATCGACTTAATAGGCGTTTCGCAAATAGAAAACCACGCGCAGTCGGCTCAGTGGCTCTATTCGCTTCGAGATTAATGCGAATGAAAAGCATAATCTTTTAATACCCAATCAATGTCTGTGCACGCCGCGATAACTACAAATTTCGAGAAAGAGATATAAAAATTTTGAGAAAATATATGATACTTTCGTAAAAAAATGAATTTGTTGAAGAATAATTTATCTTAATTATATCTTTATTATCTTATTATATTATCTTAATTATCAGATACGTCAACTCTCTATTTAACCTTTGTAAAAGTGCAATCACGTCTTGCAGTCGTTAAATTGTCAGATATTAAGTCTATAATATATGGATATTTGTGACATATATCCCTGTCCAGAAAGTGTAAATGCAAGTATTAATTCATTAAATGTCACGTTCAACATATTCCATGATTGCATTACACATTGTCAGATATTAATAGATATTTATCACAAATTTGAAAATTCTAGGTTCAATACTCAGATTATCTTTCAGAAATTACAAGTATAATATAATATATTGTGATTGTAAATAAGAAAATTTCACTGATTACTTTCCACGATTACAAAGATGAACGAGAAACATTTTCTAGCAATTTCAATATTCTACATTTTTTTTCCCTATAACTGCAAAAATTATCAATAGCGAAACATTTGTGCAATTCTAGGAGAGCAAAGTATTTTGTCAGATTTGCAGATGCAATAGGAATATATATTAGTACAGAAATACTTTTTGCTTAATAAAAATATGAAGAGACGAAAGGAAATATATAAATTATTATGGAATTATTTGATATGTTTACAGTTAAATTACTTTGTTGAAACAATTTTCAGCAAAAAAAGTAACCCAATTTTTAATTGATTTCTTTTTTTATTAATTACAACTGAATTTTTCGACAAATTCGGAAAATAGTAAAAATTGCTAAAAATAATGGGCATTAATCTGCATTCATTGAGAAATGCGTCCCGAAATTGGACGCAAATCCAAGACAAGATACGCGATGTCGAGATTGCTCTGGCATTACGGTAGTTTGACCCTTGACACGGTACGATTTGGGCAGGCAAACGCAGAATTTCGGCGGTGCCGATTGAAGGACCAAACAGACGTACGCATTCTCTCTTTCTCTTGTTTTATGCTTGCACTCCGCGCATATTATATTTTAGGCTTCATAGTACGATAGAAGGAAAAGGGGCAACCTTCCGTTCTATTTCGCGCCCCGGAACGCCCGATAATTTGTATACGTCGCGAAAACCGTGGGAACAAAAGCGCCGATACTTAGGTAGGTAGGTACGCGGAGATCGTTATCTTCGCTATCGAGATACCGTCATAAACTGTCGTGTCTTTTAACGTAGCCATATTACAGAAATAACGAATTGTCGATCGATATAATGGGATAATAATTTCGCGAGACAATTGTTCGCGAACTTTCGAGCAGTTCGCATTAGAATGTAACAAAATGTGCGTGTGTGTGTGTGTGCTATTTATTCTTTCTGATTCCTGATTGATACTTAGATACAAGGGTACATGAAATTATGCGATTAGGTATGTGGTTGAATATAATTGCCTGTTAATATAATGGCAAGATAATAATGATATCTAATGGTTTAAAATAATTCTATAATAGTAGCTTTATTACGGAGCATTTAATAAATAACGGAAATAAAAGTGGTTAAATCGAGAATTATATTTGTTTAAAAATAAAAAATTTCCCAATCTCACAGGAATTTTATGAGGAAAACTGTAGCATGAGAAAATTATTGTATCGGTTAATAGTATCATATTAGTAAATCAATATTTTTGAATCATTATGCTAAAAAAACTTCTGCCAAATTTTTATTAATTGTTATAATTACGAAAAATTATTTATATTTTAGTTATTTTAATCAAAAACAAAATTGATTTAAATACTTAAATTATTAATCATATGATGAAGTAAAGATACACGCATTCATTCATAAATATTCCATCATGCGAAATAAAAATTGATGGACTTCAGTCATTATAAAGATGCACGTGCTTCTGAGGGTTCTGTCATCACTCATGCATCCTTCTGAGAATTTAAAGAGCCGGACAGAGGAAAAAGAAACGCGATATCCCTGCGAAGAAGAAAAAGAAGAGAAATTCGTGTGACGTGGTACGTTGTCCAGTTTACGGTGGCGCCTTTTTGCATTTTTCCGTATGGAGCCGGAGTCACGACTCGACCTCCTCTCTTTCACTCCTGGATCTCCCTCTATCTCACCCTCTTTCGACTTCTTACATTTATGTTCACTGTTTCTTAACATCCACGCGTTACAACTATTTTTCTTGCACAATGTCAGACTTACGGAATTAAAAGAGAGAGAGAAAAAATACTCTCAAAATGTACTTTATTTTATTTTGCAGTAAAATAGTATAATTAATTAGAGAGAGAGAGAGAGAGTGAGACACATTGAATGAAAGATTAATGCAAATCTGATTTTGAAATTGATATATTTTTCATTTCAAAAGTAGTTAATTTATAAATATATTCTTAACTCTTATCCGCGTGTTATTCTTCTCAATTTAGCACGATCTAAACTCAAAAATATCAATGGAAACAGAAAACAAATTTGTCCGCTATAAAATGATTAAAAGTTCTCCGAGTTGGACCAAACATTTGACAATTTTATAGAGAATAAACAAATTAGTTTTGTTTATTCAACTGTCAAATATTTAATCCAAATGGGAGAAGAATTTCTAACCATTTCCGCCGAGCAAAGAAGCGGAAGAGGAAGACAAAGGAAAGGGAAGAAGGGCGAAAAATCTCGATGGCGCGACGGGCATCCCGATCGATCGCAAGCCGTGGAAAATCGTCGTGGCGACCGGCAACGACGAGGGTCGACAGGAACGATCGAGGAGGTGGTGACCAATAAGGTCGCTGGAGAATGGATAAGAGTCGCGGACTTGAAGAGCGATGGACCGCCCCTCTTTGCGGCGATAGTGTGGTGAGGCCCGCCAATGGCTACGCTCTTTCTCCTTAATATACGATGCCTGGATGCCGGCATTACTGTGTCCTCGTAATGAAAAAAATTACGTCACTCTACCGCTTAGGCGTTAGATAGCCGATCAGCGTTACGAGGAGACATACCATCGTTGGACGTCACTCGATGCCGAGGCGATCTGAATGCCTAAAGGCGCGGCGTGATCGATTCGATCTGGAGGGAATGTATTGTTTTGGACTTGTTGAGAATTTGTATGTGTATATGGAAATACATGCAATGAATTACTAATGTGCGCGATTAGAGTGACTCAATTACTTCAGATCTTACGACTCTCTTACGATATGAAGAAACTCGGTAAACAAAATTCAAATTTTTTAATAATTAGATATCAATTATCTTGTTATTCTTAGCTTTGAGTCTCTCGTCTATTAAACAATTCTTCAAGGTTTTTTGTTACACGTTTCGCCTCATAAAATTCTGTCGACGTAAATTCTTGGGAGATTGTGATCGATATCTACAGCCTTGACTTTATTGTGGTACAAGGAATATATCATATATTCTCGATACGATATATCCTCGACACGATAGATCTCCATTTCTATAAGTCTTTGACATCCCCTGATATTATTATAGATTCGCGATATTATATATCGTAGACTCACAAAACTACAGATAGATCATAGATTGTTGGTACCACACATCTTGACTCTCGTTGCCTTAGATTCGACATCACAGGCTGGAGATCCCCAATGTCATTAATCTTGATCCTATTGATCCTTGATATCATCTTCGATATCATAGTGACATCGTCGATTCTTACAATGATATCTGAATTTCTTTCATGAACTCATCACATGTATTAAATTTCTTTGTGTGATTTCTTTAAATTGTGTAAATATATTTATATTGCAAAGGTAAATTTTTAATTTTTACGCGCAGAAAGAAATTCTACGTTTTTTTTTTCATCGCGCGACAAATATTGCGATAGGTATTGAGATTCGCTTGATTTTGCCCCGCGGCACGTCAGAACGGATCAGAAACTCGACCGTTTTCACGCCTGAGAAAATCCTTATTGTCTGGGACAGGCTAGTTCGCCTGGAGCGGAAAGTCACGCGAATCGACGCACAAGGAAGAGGAAACGAGAAATCGACTTAATTGCGCACGCCGTTTGGTACATCTGTGCGTACAACAGACTGCAATGAACACACAACTGATTATTATATTCACTTTTCTTCTGATCTGGATTTTTCTGGCATAAATTTTTTCACGTTATACTTAATTTTTAGTACATTCCTAGTAATTATTTACAAAGATCGATTATAATGAATAACATCCAAATTTTAAAATATCGAAGAAAAATAATACGAAAAAATAATAAAATATATACCAGATTTTATTTCAAATGTTTCGAATCTTCTTGCATCGCAAGTTTTATATTTATAATATATGTCTATCTCAAAAAAAGAAAAAAAAAAATTTGAAAAAGGATAGAGATTCACAAAATGTGTATAAATTAATTCCTTTTGCGATAATCTCAAAATCGACAAATAATAATTCCGATTGACCGTTAATAGTATTTTTTTTTTTTTTTTTTTTTTTTTTTTTTTAGCAATGATTATATTATGTCGAGTATTAGTTATTATGTAACATGTAATCAAAAAAATTAGATATCATCTACACATCATGAAGATAATATAAGTTAAATGTGAATATTAGATAAATATTAGAAATAATACACAAAGAATAAATGTTAGCAATGTTAAACACACACATATATTAAAGACAGCTGTTAACAATCAAACCAAATATATATAAAAATACTTACAAATGCTTAAAAAATTGTTTGTTAACATGATATATATTCTTTGGCCTTTAAAACAAAATTATAGAGTATATAAAATATGAAGACAAAATTCGAGAAACTTTATAAAATATTAACTCTGTACTTACTTTTCTTTCTCAGAATCATTTAAACACAATTCATCGATTTGTCCAACCATCTCATGAACAGCATTTTCTATAACAAGTCCCTCTTCTTGAACAGAATAAGCTGCCACTTCCAGTTCTACTAAATCCAATCCCATGCTTGCTTTGCTTGGATGAATCTTTATAAGATAATAAAAATTTAGATATAAAGAAAATAATAGAAATGCTAAATAAGTATATTATAAATATAATTTTTTTTAACTTACATTATTTAACATAGAGTGAAGTGGTTCTATTAATGATTCAGGAGATGCTTGCAGCCAAATTAAAAAGTCCTTTATGTATAATTGGTTTAATATGTATCTTGGTTCATACGAGTTGTTAAAAAGACTATGTATTTCACAGAAGACTTTGATAATATATTTCTTTCCTGCATGTACATAAAAATGTTTAAAGTAGTAAAAACTTACCAAGAGAAACAGTTATCCTAACATATCCCAATTTATACTGACCTAATGTGAGAGCTTTTTTAACATCTTCGAAAACTTTCATAGAAAGCTCCCAATTTCTGTAAAGTGGATAACAAAGTGACTAGCGAAGAGAGTCATTCAACAGTTGCCTTATACGCGCATGGTGAACGGCGTGCAGATGCATGTCGATCGTGTATGACATAAATATGCATTGCAGGCCGCTATGCGCGTACGGAGCGTTACTAACAGGGCCTTAATTATGAATGAAAATAATACGCGCTTCAATCTCGAAACACACTTTCCTCGGCGTCAAGCCATCCGGTTCAACGACTTCTGCCTGTTGTGGCAGAAGCGTGCTGTGCGGAAAAGTATCGTGCGCGCATGAGAAGGAATATGATGTCGATAATCATGGCGAGAGTGGAAGAGCAATTTGTTCGTACTTCTCTCAGTCACACACTGATATCGGTATCCGTATCCGAAATCGATTTTAGTTCCGATACATTACATTTTCATTGACTAAGAATTGAATATAGAAATCATAATCTTTCACATTTTAATTTTTTAAATTAAGAGAGTCAGAAAGAGAATCTTGAATTACAATTATAAAAGTATATATGAGATCCAAACTTTCTCTCACTAATAAAAAACATTCTCTGTCTTTTTCAGATACTTGAGAGATATTTGGAGATTCTCTTTTCCTAAGTTCCATCCTACAATAAAAGTAAGTAAAATTTAACGTGCGTCTCCGTACGCGTGGCGAAGTCCGCTCACCCGTCAAATCTGTCAGAAAATTCGAGGTCCGACGTTATTGCGTAACGTAATGATTTGGTAATCGGTCACGTGGATTTACGTCGGATCGGACCTGCCGCAAATCTCCGCTACGTGACGAATTCCGCAACGAGTGGGTTTTGCCGCGTGTTGCACTCGCGCACGTGTGTGCATTGTCCGCACGCGTAGCGCTAAGCTCTTGGCATTAGTTCGCGCGCTTCTACAACCGGCGCAGTTTGTTTGCCCCGTGGCGAACAGTGCGTCGCACCTTGTGTCCGCACGAGGACGAGCGAATCGAATGCATAGCAGCACTGCGTAATACCTCATTAGCGCTCGAGGAAATAAGGCAGTTTATCGCGAGACTTGTTTTGCTTTTATAACAACATTCTCGATCGAGAGATTTGCCGATTCTTAATTATATTCGTTACAGATTTATTTCACCGAGAATTTTCATCGTCCCAAGTTCTTTTTCTTTCTCTCTCGAGAATATGATAACGACGAGAGAAATATTCTCATATATACACACAATTATGTTTAAAGAAGATGCTTTTATTATTTTAATCAAGAGAGAGTTGGCCTTGAAGAAAAAAAAAAAAAAATATTTAATTTAATAATTATTTATAAATTGGCTTTTATTGTGTATTTTTTAATTATGTTTTCATAAAAGACTGAACTCTTATCTTCATGGTTTCGAGATTCGAAGTCGCCCATGCGAAATCACCGTAATTTATTTTGTATTGCGTGCATGCAACGACGCGTACGTATCAAATGCATGTTTCCTCTGTTGCTATTTAATGCTAATTGCACACAGTTATCATTTTAACATACGTTCCAATTATATGAATGTTGTTTGGATTACATTTGCATCGTAAATGTAAAAAAAAAATTCCCGTCAAACTATCTTCTGGCAAGATATATCTACGATTTGACACTTAATATAGATTACATTGTTAATCTCGTTAATTAATCCCGCATTTCGTATCTCTGTAATATAATTTATCAAATAATCACGGCGCAAAACTGCCATCGCAATTGTCGATAAAATCCGCATCTATCGCGCGATGACATTTTTGTTAATATATATTTTTAGATATCTCTTGGGCTTATCGCGACGCACGTGCCTAGGACTATAATTATGTGTATCCTTCTCGTAATATCGGCTTGCCACGAGTTTCGTTATGGTTTCGAGAGATTATTGTTATCGTTGTTTCGATGACTGTACCCAAGTATCGCTCCGTTCAAGGCCGCGCGCAAAAAGTTTTTTTTATACAAGATACACACGTGTCAATCTTTACGTGCGAAATACATTGTAGAAAACGAACGACGGGGGCTCGTTTAAAAATACAGTTTGCATTAATACCAGAAAGTAAGATGCATCTCGATCCGTATCACGTTCTTTTATCATAAAATATTTTCTAACATTTGGAGAAAAAATATGATTGAGAAATACGATTAAAAAAAGAAAAATATCATGCTTATTTTATTAAAAATAAACAAATAGCGCAATCGTATAAAAAAGCATATTTCCGTATATATAATATATATGTCTCCTTTAATTATATATAATCTTGATTTGAATATATATTCTACTTTGAGATATTACATTTGATATTTTAACACGTTTGTGCTTTAAACCTAAATCGAGGACTGTATATATAACAGAGTTTGCCAAAACATTTACTCTTGCGTTTCCTTTCCGTATGAATTCCTGTATCGCCTCTTTAACAAAAATTCAAAACGCTGGTTCAATATTTAATAAAATAATTTGGATCAAGTCATGCCAAGACACATGAACTCTCCGCCGCCACGCGAGCGTGACTCCATTGAAAATTCTCGTTTTCGCCGCATATCCTCTTCGGAGGGAGAGCAACAAGTGAGCAAACATCCGTGCAACGGATCCTCGACTCCGCGCAAATCGTCATCTTGCGATCGAACTAATCGAGCAGCAACGCGACCCAAAGCTGCCAGCGGGAATGGCAGGAATGTCGTGACACGCGTACGCGCCCGACCGCTAAAAGACGAAGCCTGGATCAATGGAGCGTGACTGCGTCGGGTTCTACGAAAGTGAGACGAAGATATAATGGCCGAACAGAAGAAAAGAGAGAAACGTTTCCCTTCGCGCTCGCTCGCCCTCCCGAATGGAGCTGGCAGCTATTTTCGATGGATCGACTTTTTTATCCGATCGCAGAAATACCGAAGCGCGGATGCGTCTAGATTGAAAATGGAATGCTTGTGACGAGAATATAGAGAAATATATAATCGGATGATTTAAAATTAAAAAAATTAGGATAATCGAAATTAATTCAAAAGCAAAAGATAAAGAAAAATAAAAAAATAAAAAAACAAAGTTGTCTTTTTGAAAATGAGAAATATTCTTTGCGAAATTGTTAGCGATTATGTTACGCAATTGCGTCTACATAAAATTATTATATATATATATGTCGAATTTTCTACTTAATTTTCATTGAAATATTTGGCCATTAATTTAGTACAGCGAAAAATAAAATCATGATCGTTACGCGAGCTGTCGGTTGACATGCTGATGCGGATGAAAACCTGCTGATTCTGCAATAACATTCCGTATAAAGACCAACAATAATATGCGACGATGACGGCATGGAATAAAATTACCTGATGTAAAACTATACTTACATTTTTTAATATTTCTGTTGCATCATAAAATAGCTTTAAATCTGCTTTCGATAAATTTTAAATTTCTTTTTATCAAATTTTATCAAATTGTGTAAGAGATGCAACTTACACGATATATATTCCTGATTAATATTACAACTAACGAATTATATAAAATATAATATTGATTTTAAAGAGTAAAGTTTTTCTCGATCAAATCAATTTATTCATCTGTTTGTGATCATTAATATTTTAAAATCTTAATTTCTTTCAAATCACGTATTAAATTTTAATGTATTAATCGATAATATTTTCTTCGACATACTCGATCATTTTATTTTCGAATTTTTGAACCGTCCGTCGCGATAAGTATTTCCTCGTACGTGATACATTAGATCGCTTTTACGAGAGTACGGTGCATTTTTATGCCAAAGCCCGTCGATAATCGGGCTATCTCGATTCAAAGGTGGCTCTCCTACGCGTTTCCTCTTTTTTTTTTTTTTGTTTCCTTTTCTTTCGCGTAATACAAGCGCATTCTGCGAATTGTCGGGGCCACGTCAGAATGACTCGTCGACTGATGAATTGCAATGTGGCGAGTGCTAATTGAAGACGCGTGATTAAGACAGAGAATTTATACGCTTTAGAATTTGTACTCGCGATTAGGCAAAAATTTCATCGCAATCAAAACTCGCGTAAAATGCGATAGAAATAGACATGAAAATTATCAATAATAGCGTCGTGAAAAGTATTTTCATATTTATTTATGAAATGTATCGTAGAATTTACAAAAAAAAATCGAATTTAATAAATTGATCAAGTATGCAAATTTTCAAGAAAATTGCAAGAAAATATTTTGCAAGAAAATATTCACTATGCATATCGAAATGCGATAGACCGAGAAAAAAGAGAGATAGAGAGAGACAAAGTAACGGTGGATGTAGCTTTTTTACCTCCGTCTTTTCGATTGCTGGGTCTCCGTGTGGGCCTGCTGGATGTGATGAGGCGATAAGTCGGACCCGTAAGACAGAAGTTGACTTCCGGCGGCGGGGCAGGCGGACGGGGGTGGCGGTGGCGGAGGTGGCGGGCCCAATTGATAGCCCACCGTAGCGGAGGGAGCCGCGTAGTGCGAGGGGCCCGGTCCAGGGCCCAGACCGACCCCGTAGCCCGCGCTTCCCGCCGACCCGCCCCCGTACATGCCGCTGCTACCGGGATACTCTATTTTGATGGTGTGTGTGTATATGTACGTGTATATATTCCGATCCAATCACTCGATTATATCGATAAACGTATCACACTCTTTTGAGAAGTCACCGTTGAGTCACCGAAAAACTAACTCGTCATATCGTTGTTCCGAGATTACTCGTCGATACACTATCGTGGTTTAACGAACGTATCACTCTTGTTTATCGTTATCGAGTTGCTCTCTTAAATTACCGATGCGTTAACTCGTCGTCTTGTTGCTCCGAGATAATCCGCTGATGCGCTCTTATATTTCTTCATAGAATAACTTGTACGTTCGCGTCCAGGTGTTAATCAGTTACTTTTAAAATATCTCGTCGTCTTATTGCGTCAAGATTAAGTACCGATACACTTTTGTACTTCCAATGATATTTTTTGCGTTATAATTCACTTTAAATATCAATAAACTCTATTTGTTTTGCTTTTTTCGTTCATACAAGGAGAATTTGTATCTAGACATCTTTTTCTCACTAGTAATTTGTTAAAGTCTTCAAAGTAGCAAAACGCAAGCTAAAGACACACATCTCTTCTAATCCTGATCGCGTGAAAAGATTTACGATAAAACGCGATTTTCATCCACATTCCTTTATCGCAACCCGTCATTTTGTACTTCGGTTTTCGGTGAAATGGAAAAAAATCTTGATGGTTTAATAGCTCGGATGTACGATTTCAAGATTCCTGATATAGAAATTTCGTTAATAAGAACGCAACTATGTTGCGTTCGCCTTCCACCGAGTTATCTTGTCATCTCGTTACCTGGAGCAAGATGTAGATCTACCAAGCGGTCTACGAAGCGGGATTTTGTACTTCGCGTTTCCCTCTTCAATGTTACTTGGGGATTCTTCAGAGTTTCGAAGGCCTTTTTGCATCTGAATTCTACTCACGTACGCTCGTGTACTTCACCAATCTCAAAAAAGAGCGAAATATATCTTAATAATTTATATTTCAATCAACAGTTATCCGTTTATTTATGTGCGCTCTTCGAAAATTCGTTCGTATTAACATGATAATTGATGCGAGATGTTCGTTGCATTCTGTCTTATTGATAATATATAATAAACTTTTTGTACTTGTGTGTGAGTGGTATTGTCTATTAGAATTTAATCATTCGCACTGCGCATGCCTGATTCCAAAATAATATCAAGCTGTTTTTCAACGAAAATATAGATAAGCGAAAACGCTTTATCTGGATTTGCCCTATATTTCCCAGAATTGTCTTTATCTTGAGCTTTCCGATATGTTCTTCTTGATATACGCATAAAATTCAATTTTATACCTCTGCTACGTTTTAATTACTCCACTTGACTTATGGAAACTTTTCTGTCGTGTTCTGCTAGTCTCCGATGGCTCGATTAATCGACCAAAAAAGAAAGTACGGAGAAGCAAAACGTGTTACGGAAGTGTGCGTCCGATTTTGATTTTGGAAAGCGTTGGATCGGCCACTTTCACGAGAGGTAAACTCTATTCTATTCGTTTCCCAACAAGAGCATGTTAACATTCTATTAATAACTATCGTTCGTTTTTCTTTCCCGGTTCTTCCGCGGTATCAGTCTCG